AAAATAAAATAATTGTCATCGGTTATCCGATCTCATCATCTTTGTATCGTTACAGCAAATTTTTCATAAATATTGTCAGTTTCATTTAACTCTACATTATTCGCGTAGTTTTTGAAACATAATTACACGTGTAGAATGTTTCTGATACTCTAACATATTTTAATTTTCATGTTCTCTTTAAATTTAAAATTAAATAAAAATTGATAATATTTTATATATTTTTAAAATAAAGATAAATGGAAAAAATTTTTTAATTGTGAAACGATTTGAGCTAAATATATTAATGTGTGTATAAATAGCAATCGTGTATTTAATATATCTCACGCGAGTAATGAAGAATTAATTATGCCTAGGATTTGGCGAGCGTTTAAAATGCTCCAACGTGACGTTAAGCACTGCTCTACTTTTTGGCGGGTCGATTGTGGACGACATTATGATTTTCCAATCGCGGATAGAAAATATTCCCGATCGATCGTTCTTAAGATACAATAAGATCCTAGTTTCTTTGAATATGCACGACTGTGGCATTAGAGAAATTTCCAGTTACGCATTCGACAGCCTGAGGAAATTGAAAAAGCTTAGCCTGCCGTATAATTACATCACATCGATAAAAGATCAGTGGTTCGTCGATCTGATATCTCTGCAGCGATTAGACTTATCATACAATCTTATCACATCGATCGAGCCTACAGTCTTCGAGAAATTGCGAGATCTTAAATGGCTCGACGTCAAGGAGAACCGTTTGACGTGTCTGGAACCGACACAGCTTGTACCAATGGCCAGCCTCGAGCAATTCCGCTTCTCTGGAAATCCCCTTACTTTCCAGTGTCGTAGCACGGTGAGCGCACATTTCATATTTCGTCTGATTAATTAAGAGAACACTGTCGTATAAACAAGCTTTATAACGAAAAAAGCGACAAGGATCAAGCTTCAAGCTTAATATAAAAGAAATGGTATTTCGAAATATTGTAGTTTCAAATCTCAAATTTAAATGAAAGAGTTCAAATAATTTCAAATCTAATTTTTCCACATTGTAGTTGTGGCTGCGAGATCTGGGCATATAAATTACAAAACTAATAATTTAATTTGGAATCAAGACTATCTGTGTAACATGACATTGGACGCAAAATGCGTGGAGATTTTAATGTTTCATCCTCTTTCGCGCTATTCTCGATATTTATAACCGGATGTTGGCATTCCGTTCTGACGCTTGTGTTATTGATAATAAATTCACTATAACATGAAAGAAATGCGATCTTAGTCTTTCAAATCTAAATTTCACATTGTAGTTGACGTTGTGGCTGCAAGATCTGGGCATAAATTATAAAACCGATCAACGTGAGGAGGAAAACTGGCTGGATAATATATTGTGGCTCTGCGCCTCAGACAACATTAAGATAGCCGATTCTGAAATTTTCATGAAAGAATGTGTCATCCTGAATCTGTTCAATCAACTTCGTACAGGTTTGACTACGGCTGAATCTTTTCCCCTGTTTATCTCTCAGAACTGTATAGATGCGAGACACGAACTAACAAAATGTGTCGCTGCGGATCGCAAACATGGCAGAGAAGTTATTACTAATGGATACGTCGTAAGAAAGCTATTAGGGCAGCTGCAAGAATTGAAATCGATTGTATAACGCAATAGATATTAGATATAGTAAAAAGAAATCCATTATTTTTGCATGAAATTGAATGGAAAAATAATGGATTTCTTTTTACTACACCTAATATATCAGTTTTCTATATCAATTTTAATCTAAAATTATATTTGATAGCTTGAAAAAATTTGTATTTGCAGAATAAAACTTCACAAAAATGTCTATGCTTAAAATGAATATTTTTCTCATACTAAATTTTATTTTCCACGTGTATAAATAAATCCTGTTTTATAACAAATAAATGTTTTATTTGTCAACTTGTTCTTCAATAATTAATCTGCAAAAATATTTTTTAAAAAGAAAAAAAATGCCAACTAAGCACTCTCTTTTATGAACTTTTTTTTTCACAAATTACAATTATTTCAGAATTGTTAGTTAATCGCGAGTAAGGGTGAAGAATCAATAAAAAAAATGTTTAATCTAATATATTGAAATATACGGTAATTCCAAAATTAAAGGATTAATTCGCTATGTATATGCGCAGATCTGACATATTTATTATAGCACATATGTCGACATAAATTATGCAACACGCTATCAAATGGTTTATGCTGGCTTTCGAGATTCGCATCAAACATTCGTCCTCAGTAAGTAGAGTAGTTACTCACCGGAGGATGCGCTCCCGCTGGGCCGTAATGACATGCCGATGGATGATATTTCGCCGGCAAGAAAATCTTTGTTTTCGCGTTGTCCATTCCGGCAGACGAGATTTTTGTCCGGCATAATTTCTCTCTCTTTTTCTTTTTGTCGATGACCTTTCGTAGCTTTACGGTCGTTCTTAACAGCGCATTGCCCTGTTCACTGCTGTCGCATCGGTGTCGATTCCCGCATCTCTTTGGAAGATTTCATTATTGATTCAGTCGAAACATATTACGTGTACTTGGGGTGCAGCGACGACAGCAAATGCGCAAAAATGAGTGTGCGGTGAATGATAAAAGATCGCGTTACGCGATATACTATTTCTAGATGCGTATTAAATTTCGTTGCGGAAATGCGACTACTCGTTACTTCACGAAATTACGGCCGAGTTGTACTGACATTCAGAAGTACTGAAAAACGAGCGTATAATTACGGCGAGTACTAATGTGGCATTAGAAAGCGAAAATATGGTTACTAATTTGATCATTTTCTTCAAATTGTTAAATTTATGGAGATTAGCATGGATTTTAATCCGATTGAAATTGCAATAAAATTATTTTGATTTAATGCATTATGTATATTTTTTTTTATACGTATAGAATTTTATGTTTAATAGTGATAAAATTAATAGTGATAAGTCTGTATGAAGTTAGTCCCTCACTTTTTGAATTAACTTATTTTAAAAACTGTGCTGAATTGTATTAGGTTTGTGCTTCATTGTGCTCAACATTAAATTTGTATTACAAAACATACAAAAGATGGAAAAACTATTTTTTAGGTTCAACCGCCACTATGCATTTTTTTCAACTTTTTAAATTGTGCTAGATTGTACTGGATTGTGCTAACATCGTGTTAAAATGATAACTTTAAATAATGGTAACAAGTTATAAATAATGGTGACAAGAAATAATTTTTGACAATTCTGAATATAACTGTTATATTAAAAAATTGTCAAAAATTATTTCTTGTAATATAATTTCTGTTGTTATCATTATTTAAAGTTATCATTTTAGCACATGTTAGCATAACCTAGTACAACCCAGCACAATTGGCAAAAATGCAAAATAGAGGACTGACTTAAAAAATCATTTTTTTCATTTTTTATATTTTGCATAGTACGATTTTAATGTTTGGCACAAATCTAGTACTATTCTTAAAATAAGTTAATTCAAAAAGTGAAAGGCTGATACTATCATCAATCATATAATTATATATGATTACGCAAGAATCGTATGTGAATGCGTGATAAATTAGTATTTATTTTATTATTGAAAAAACAATCGGATTACTGCATGGCTCATGCGAATTCGGTCTCGCATTGAAATGAGAAAAAGCTGATATAAGTTCAATGTGCATTGGAAGATTAAATGATGAATATTATTAACTTTCTCAATCGCATGTATGCTTTATGCGATACAAAGCATTGAAATTACGCAATTAGAGAAGTAAGCAAAGGTGCCAGAGTGCACTTTTACGAAATAAAAAAAAAAAGAGAGAACGGGCTTAATCTATGTTGGAGAAGACAAAAAGTATTTATGTTTTTGTTGAGTATTATTTTAACAATAGAAAACATTAATCAACCCTTTCGCGCCGAACAATGGCTATCTCCGGTCGCAAATGAAAGAATAGACAGGACGAAGCACAATTAATTTCAATTATTCATGATGATTCGCGGGTACGGATACAGGAGTTAAATAAAGGTGAGGCAAGCCACTGTCATCGAGACGAATAAAGTCAGACGGGTAAACATTAATTAGCATTATTTGTAAATGCAAATGAATGAATCACAAGTTTTAATAAATCTTGAGAATCGAATTGTGTGTACAAACACACTGGATACATTTAGACATTGGCAGATCGTTCGATTATTCTTATTAATGTTTAATCATCATTTGTTTGTGTGTGTGTGTGTGTATTTAATCATTATTTGTGTGTGTGTGTGCGCGCGCACGCGCGTACGCAATTAAGAAAATAATTAAAAAGTGTAGATATTAGGTAAATTAAATAATACATAAAAGGATTAAAAATCAGCGTTAACACTTGCTATTGTAAATCTATCATAATAACATGTATAATTTATCATACATTTTCGTAATTTTTAATTAAGAGCTTATTGTAATTTCGCAAAATAGCGGGAATGGGTTTATGAAATAAGAACAATTAGTGGAATAATAGCTGAAGTTTAAAGAGCGCGATGTTCAAACTTTACGAGAATTTAAATCCTTAAAATTCTTCATAATTTAATTTATAAAGTCAATTGTACGCCATGTAAAAATTTTAACGCGAAATGCTAGTACTATTTTACAGACTCTGCTTCATTTCTTAACCATATGTAATACAATTAAAATTGTAATTGCAAACAAAAATTTTATACAAGCATAATCGCAATTTAAATAATAAATTAAAAAAAAAATTAAATTTTCTTAAATAAACAATATATAATTACGATGACGTATTTAATTTAGTACTGAATGATTATTTATTTACTTTAAATTACATTGCCAAGAAGGCTTGTTTACAAAAATAAACAATCCATACACATCCAAACTACATTTACACTTTTAAACTTATTTCATCTATATGCTACTTATACTAATTATCTCAAATCTACTGTTATCATAAAACAGACTAGAATCATACAAAATATCTCTCCTAGCTTCCTTACACTAAATATCACAGTTCTGCTTTTTTTAAATCCTTTAATTCTCAATGTTTGTTCTTTTAGTCACTTGTTAACACTTGCTCACTTTTTTTTTCACTAACGTTGGTTAAGCTAATCGATGGTTACATGAGTCCGCTGAATAAGCCCCATGTAACCGTCAGTTAGCTTAACCGAGATTAGTGAAAGAGGTCTTTAGTCATCTATTTTTACTTATTCACACACAGTACTTATCATATTATTACAAATTATATCTAAGCTTTTTTTCTCTCTTTTCTTGATTTCCTTTTCCTTCTCCTTTTTCAGTTTTTTTATGACTTTGATCTAATATTTTATTTCACAGCCTATCTTTATTGTCTTTTTATTTTTGTCCAATTTTGTGAATAATTCACTTGTCCTCTGACATTCCTCTATATATTCCATGCAATCTATTTTATTACAATCATCTTCTATGCTCCTCCTTCAGCCAGTATTTATTTGCTTTCTTTATATTTCCACATCTTAGATTTACTAACGCATCTTTTCCAATTCCTATTTTTTTCCAAATATCTCTCTTTAAAAATACCTAGGTCTTTTATTTATTATTCCTAATTTTCTTTATACCTCTTAGCATAGGGTTTTCAATCAAACGTACAAAATATACATTACTGATGCAATAATGATGTTTTGTATGTTCGATTGAATCATGCGACCTCAATCTTTTATATAATTTGAAAGTTTCTTTAACTTGTCTAACTTAAACCTCGCTTTACTCTATAATTTTGGCTATCTTGGAGCTAGTATGCTTTTTTAAGTAAAATTAATAGTTAAAGCAGCAAAGATTATTTAATATTAACGGCGAAAATAATCAGTAAGAGTACTCAATAAAAATTATTTAATTCTGCAGCAAAAGATTTGTTGTTACAGTACATAAGTGCAAAGCTAATCAATTTAGTTTGGGCAGCAACAGTATTAGTTGTTCCTATTAAAGACACATTTTAGCTACCACAGCTATATATTTAGTTCTTATTGCTAATCCTTTTTTTCCATGCAGATTTTTTCTCGCAGATAAGCAACTTTGGTGAAGAAAATACTTGGTTGCGTTAGTTACATATGTTAACTAAGACAGCAAATTTTCGATTTATAATCAATATGCATCATTGCAGATAAGTATACTTCGCTAAGAAATCAATATAGCAACAGTGGCAAATTCTTTTGCAGCAAATATACTTTCAGCGATAATTAGCATAATTAGCTGCAGCGCTGAGAATTTTATTTTCCGTGCCAAAAAAGAATTTATTGTTAGTAATATCAGGTAAATGTCAGTTATTATAGTACAAACTTTGCTATTAGAAGAAAGTGGGGGATATACAGACACATAAAATTAAACTGAAATAGAAATAAGAATTAAGAATATAATCAGTGTTTCATTGGAAGTCAACCTTTACTTATTAGTCTTTAGGAGATAATATATTATAAGATAATATATTATAAAAATTATCATAAACAAGCTGAATTTTTTAACAGAAACAAAACACTTGCAGTCCGTATTTACCCAAAGCTTATGGAGTTAAAGGACAGATGCTCAAGTAAATATGGATAGGGATAACGAAACATGTTTACTTATTGCTACCAATATCACATAGGTAGCTATTTGAAGAACTGCCACCAATATAGCCTTCATGTGCCCATTTCAGACGTAATACACATTATTCAGTCCTCTATAGATGAAGACACGTATTTTTCATTGTAAAATATGCAGAAGTATTCATCTTCCTTGTCGCTTTTGTCAATAATAAAATATTTTAGTATGTAAATTATACATAAAATTAATATTTATATATATTTATTAATTTATATAAATTTATATTTATCTTTCATTATACAATATATAAA